CAAGGAGCAGCACGGTCACCTAGCAGCCCTCCGCATCCATCATCCCCACCAGAGGGCTTCGTGTCGGCTGGGTCTTCTCGGACTAAGCAAGCGGCACCCGCCGCTGGTAGAGCACGTCGCATGCGTTGGTCACAAGCAATGAATACAATCGCACTGCGGGCGTACTTTAGGGCAAAAGGGGAAGAAACTGGATGTTTGGCGTACCGGGCTAGGATGAATCGTCTTTTTGCTGAGCTGGAGCCATCTTTAACCGTCACAGAGCAAAACCTGGCAGACCGAGTTCGGTATACCTTGTGCTCAAATATATTTGATGTCGCCGAACTCGAACGGCTACGACGTGATGCTGTTCCCTCATCGGATGAAAATGCTACGGCTGAGGATGCAGCGACACAAATGATAGAGCAACCCGCAAACGTGGATACCGCCGTGAATACCCCAGTTGTGGTTGATTCAAACGATGATGGAACAGTTGCCCAGGAACTGGAATTAGAGCATATGAGGAGTACATTGGAAGAGGCGATTGTGGAAACGCGCAGTACGCCTCTCGAAAATCGACCGCGACTTCCCCGCGTAGCTCTAAGCAAGCGGAATCGGGCTATCGTGAGGGCTCTGAACCCAATGCTGGTGACCTATTTGGAAGCCAACCGGCACCTTTGCGAGACGGACTCAATACTTTTTAGCGCCACGCTGGCAGTCTGCCGTATCATAGGCGCCAAGGTTTCCACGGCTGGACGCGCTATTGGCCATAGTAGCGCTATCCCAGCATGGAGAAGAAGAATTGAGGAACGTATCGGAAAGGCTTGAGCTCTCATCGACGGACTGATATGCTTTAGATCAGGCAATAACAGGCCAAGAATTGTGCGCACCGTCAGGATGGCGTTTGCTGGGACAAATGTCAGTTTGTCCCAGCCGGATATAACGCAAAAACTGACGGAGCGCATAGATGATCTGAAGCAAAGAATCGCTGCTTGGGGAAAGCGGATTCGGCAATATACCGAGAGATCGACACGGTTCAACCAGAATTGTCTCTTCCAGAGTGATCAGAAGAGGCTCTATGCATCATTGAAGCGACCAATAGTAAGTGGAACGGGCCCAGCACCGAATCAGGCCGACACTGTAGCATTCTGGCGCGGCCTGTGGTCAGAGCCCGTAAACCACAGCGAGGGCCCTTGGACGGAAGTTGTGGCGAGTCAGTGTGCGGGTATTACGCCCATGGACCCCGTCATCATAACACCGGATGACGTAGCTGAGGTGGTTCGTAGGGCCCCGAACTGGAAAAGTCCGGGGCTTGACGGGCTGCATCACTACTGGCTGAAGGGGTTCATGGTGTGTCACTCTGTGCTCGCCCGACAGTTTCAAGAGGCTCTCAACCAGAAGTCGCTCCCAAGCCTCTTCACTACTGGGATCACTCATTTGGTTCCTAAAGTCCAGGGTACCACAGACCCGAGTAAATACCGCCCCATCACGTGTCTACCGACCATATACAAGACACAAACATCCATTTTGAGCGCGAGAATCACTCGTCACCTGGACTCAAATCAGGTGATGTCGCGCGCTCAAAATGGATGTCGGGGCGGTGGTCGTGGAACCAAGGAACCACTCCTTATTGACGCGGTCATTGGCAAAATGGTGAAACGCAACCGTTGGAACTTCTCCGCCGCCTGGATAGACTACAGAAAGGCATTCGACTCGGTGCCCCATACACGGCTAAAGAGAGTCCTCGAGCTGTACAAGATAGACTGTACAGTTAGAAACTTCCTCGAGCAGTGTGTGGGGCAGTGGAGTACGATCCTTTGTCATCTGGGCGAGCGGAGGAAGGCTGCGGAGAACCACATAAGGATAAGAAGGGGTATCTTCCAGGGCGATTGTCTGAGTCTAATCTGGTTCTGCCTCTCTGTGAACCCTCTCAGTACCTTACTGGAGGGCTCCGGGAGGGGATTTCAGCTATGGAAAGGAGGGACAAAAGTGACCCAACTTTTCTACATGGATGACCTCAAGTTATTTCGCCTTCAGTCGCTCCCATCTTATGGCAATTGCTAAACATCATTTGTGAATTTAGCAATTCCATTGGAATTGAGCTGGGGACGGATAAGTGTGCGGTCGTCCATGTTGAAAGGGGAAGAGTTGCTAACTCTGAGGGCATAGACTTATCTATGCCCGTCAACTTAAGAACCCTTTCCGAGGCTGAAACATACCGATACCTGGGTATGTCACAAAACATCGGTATCGATGAGACTGGTATGAAACAGTCAGTTTGCGACGTGTTTTATGCACGCTTGACCAAAGTGCTTAACAGCCTTTTGTCCGGTGTGAATAAGGCACACGCATATAACGGCTGGGTCATGACTGTCCTCATGTATACCTTTGGCATACTCAGGTGGACTCAGACCGAACTTAACGCCCTGGATAGAAAAGTCCGCACTACCATGACGTCCCATAGGATGCATCATGCGAGATCGTCGGTAATGAGGCTGTACTTGCCGCGGAAGCATGGTGGTCGTGGCTTCTCGAGCGCGCTCACCATGCATAATCGCGAAGTGTGCAGCCTCCGTGATTACTTCCTGGCGAGATCGGATGATCTATTCTATAAGGACGTCATTTCTTGTGATAAAGGACTTACCCCTCTATCCTTAGCCAACGAGCAATGGCAAGACCCGACAGTGCAGAGCATTTCCGACCGGGAGACCGTATGGAAGGAGAAGGAGCTCCAGGGGGAGGTTCTACAAGGCTCTACATGAGCCTTTCGTAGACACAGTAGCCTCCCTCAACTGGCTAAGCTTTGGCGATCTCTTCGGGGAAACCGAGGGTTTTGTCTGTGCAATACAGGATCAGGTTATTAAAACCAACAACTATCGGAGATACATCCTAAAGGATGGCACCGTCGACATCTGTCGAACTTGTCGCCATCCCGGTGAGTCACTTAGGCATGTCATTTCCGGTTGTTCGGCGCTTTTTAACTCTGAGTACTTGCACAGGCACAACCTAGTAGCCAGAATTTTTCACCAGGAGCTCGCTCCGAAATACGGTCTCGTGGATCGGAAATTGCCGAATTACAAGTACTTGCCGGAAGCCGTGCTCGAAAATGATCGCGCCAGGCTCTATTGGAACCGGGCCATCATCACAGACAGGACTATTCTTGCGAATAAGCCTGATATTGTGCTTATGGACCGGGCACAGTCAAGGATATTTTTGGTCGACATTACCATTCCGTATGACGAGAACCTCTTGAAAGCCGAAATAGATAAGCAAACAAAATATCTGAACCTGGCTCACGAGGTGACCGACATGTGGGGTGGTCTGCCGACCGAAATTATTCCTGTAGTCGTCTCTGCGAACGGGCTATTCCCAGTCAGCCTCTCGGGTCATCTGAGGCGGCTGGGACTACGTGGCGGACCGCTCCAGGCTCAAACGCATCGTCCGCCGGTTTCTTTCCCTTTCCCCCCTAACCCTAGGCTGTTTGGTCTCCCCTGCCGAGGGCCTCCATCTGGTTGGGCTTTTATTTATTTATTTATTTTTATATTTAGTTTATGTTATTGATATTTATGTATATTTATCTTTTCATTTTCATTTATAATTATATATTTATAGAACCCAACCAGATGAGAAAACTATGTTGATATCCCGATATCCAGATTTTAAAATAATAATAATAATAATTCTTTATTGAACACAGAATTAATATACAATTCATAGATACCCTGACTCCTAAACTAGGTTACCCTGTATGTTAGGAGGCAGTTTCCCTCCCATTCAGTTATCTTGAATTCCGTGCACAATGCCGACTAAATATAGATCAAGAAAAATAAAAAAATAAACAAATTGTGTATGCATGCGTGCGTACGCACACGCACGCATTCATACACACTTTGTTTATTTATTTCGCGTGTGCGTGCGTGCGTGCGTGCGTGCGTGCGTGTTTATAACGAATAAAATTGTGTAACATACATTCATATATTCGAACTCAAGCTGATCGACGTAGCCTGATTTCACTGAGCAACAAAATAATAAACTAGAAAGCCTACAGTCCGCCATTAAAGACATTAAAACAAAGAATTCTGAAATTACGGCCACGATACAATTATTGTCGGATAAATATGATGACTTTCGTAAGGAGTTGGATCTGTTAAAACATGAGCGTAAAGAACAACTAGCTTATATAAATATACTTGAAAACCGGCTTGATAATTTCGAAAATAATACGTGTACTGCAAACATTGAAATACGTAATATTCCTAAAATTCCAAATGAGTGAAAACTAGAACTTACTAGGGTGGTACAGAGAATTGGAGATCTTATAAATACCCCAATTCTAACGACGGATATAAAAGATCTACATCGAGGATTCACCAAACCCCATTCGCCTAAACCTATCGTGGTCGAATTTGTATCCGTCCTTAGAAGAAGAGTATATTATCTGTTAAAGCTTATAACAAATCTGGAAGTGAAAAGAAACTTAACACATTACTTCTGAAATTGGATGGCCCTTCAGTACCTATTTTCATCTCTGAAAGTCTCACTTTCAAGGTTATTTTTCCTCGCTCGCAACTTTGCCAAAACACATGGATATGCTTTCTGTTGGTCATCTTATGGAAAAATATACTTGCGTAAGAATAATAAGAATCAATGAAGAAGCAGATCTTGCAAAACTAAAGGAAGCCAACATATGATTATCATTCCTGTTTATAGTGTATATAATAAGAAATATGTTTTACTACTAATTATTCAAATAACGTATGTAGTAGCTAGATTATTCATTTTTTTTTTAACATTATCTTATTACTTTTTTACCTACTCTACACTCTACATGCTAATGATACTCCTTTATATTTATAACTCCATAACATACCACTACACACTTACACAATACACAACCAATACTTATACAAATCTTATTTATATAGTTAATAACATTGTTCTCAACTTATTACTCTCTCTGATCAATTTAATTTACTTAGTAGAACTATTTAAACTAGAACCTAAATGCCATATAATTTATAAAAATGGATGAAGATATAGGAGATGAACTTGATCAAATTTCTGTATCTGAATCTGCCATATGTGAAGTTGAGCAAACTAAACTATTGCTACCAGATGACCAACCCAATAGTCTTATTATTATTAATCAAAATATTCGCAGTATCAATAAGAAATTTGACGGTTTCACAGTATTATTGAAAAGACTTGAGGTTGACTGTGACATTATTATTCTGACCGAAAGCTGCCTTGGTTCTGATTCTTTATTGCCTAATTTAAATGGATATAGTAGTCATGCAACAACAAAACATGCATTGCAGAATGACGGAATCATGGTATATGCAAAATCTGATATCAATATTACTTTTGAAGAACCGACATTTCTAGAAGAAAACTGTCTTGTTATGAAACTTGGTCTCGAAAATGCAATATTGGACTCTTTTTATTCTCTACCTTAACGCTATTTTATCACCTTTAAAAACATATCAATTATAGGTGACCTAAACATAGACGTTAGACCAGAAAATAGAGATAAAAGAGCTCATGATTATCTTAATCTTTGCGCTAGCCATGGTTTATCACCTACCCACAATTGTCCATCAAGGGAAAATAAAACGTGTCTCGACCACGTCTTGCTCAAAACAAAAAAGCCAGCTCTTACATTGGTGATTCTACATTAACTGACCATCAAGCAGTACTCCTGTGCTTAAATCAGAATTAAATTAAAAAGTCCTCTTTAAAACATAGAACTTAATTAAATAATGAAGAATTACTTGCGGACATAGGTAATATAGACTTTGAAACAATATATAAGTCAAATGACGCTAAATTTTGTACAGAATTTTTAGTTACATCTTTAAAAACTGCAATAGAACAAAATACAAGCATAGTATATACATCTAGACGATTAAAAAACATTAAGCCATGGATAACCCCCGGCCTAATAAGACGTATGCATAATAGGGATCGAATGCATCTGAAAGTAAAACGTGCATGAGAATATACAGTGCTTAAACTCACATATATTCGATACAAAAATAATTGCAGTAGTTTACTAAAAAAGCTTAAAAGACAGTATGAGAAAACACAATTAGAATTAGCGGGTAAAGACAGCAAAAAAGGGAAGCCATTAAAACTGCTACACACACATCTAAACAGAAATCATCGTCTCAGGGAATTACTGAAAACTGACTGTATTAAAGACTCCTTAAATAGTGTTAATAATTTCTTTGCAACTGTTGGGAAAAACAACGCAGAAAAAAGTATTGTAGAAAAACAAGAATTATCACAAATTAACCTTGATACAACAAGAGAATCGTTTGTATTATTATCTACTGATGTGGACGAAGTAGAACGCATTATCATCATATTATATTAAAATCAAAATGAATAACTTTCTAAAAACTTTCCGACATATCCTAATCCCACCATTAACTTATATCTTTAATTTAAGTTTTGCGAACGGAATATTCCCTAATTATTTAAAAAATCTATAATTCACCCCATATATAAATCTGGAGATAGAGACCGTGTGAATAATTATAGGCCTATTTCTATACTTCCTTCTATTACAAAAGTATTGGAAAATCTTATTAATATCAGACTTGTAAAATACCTAGAGAACTTTAATATTCTATCAAACTGTCAATTCGGGTTAAGATTCGGAAAATCTACCAATGATGCAGTACACGAATTAACCGATAATATCATCAAAAATCTAGACAAAGGCAATAAAACGGTAGGGATTTTTCTGGACCTTGCGAAAGCATTCGACACGGTCTCTACCCTCGTTCTGCTAAGGAAACTTGAAAAAATTGGTATACGGGGTACACAACTAAAATTATTTGAAAGCTATCTAACTGGAAGACTACAGTGTGTTACAATAAATAACCAATGTAGTTCTGATGTACCTGTTAGCTACGGAGTCCTCAGGGGGAGTATTCTGGGCCCAATTCTATTCCTCGTCTACATAAATGACCTCTTAAAACTTAAATCCTTCCAAAGTGCTGTGTCATCAGCATATGATATGGCAAAATCATATCTTATGCTGATGACACAGCACTCCTATTCTCAGCAAGTACATGAAAGGAGGCTTTTGATAACGCTCAAACTAGAATTGATGTTGTCTCAGTATGGTTACGTAGTAACCACCTATCTCTTAATATTGAAAAAACCAAATATATCACCTTTTCCATAACAAATGATGCTCAATCAACTATCAACTGTAAGTTAACTACTCACATTTGTTTAAATTTTATAAAACCTTTAGGATTACCGTGTACCTGCCCATCTTTATCCAAAACCAACTGTGTTAAGTATATAGGTATTCTTATTGATAATCAACTGAATTTTAAAGATCATTTAGAAGTTTTAACGTCCCGAGTTCGAAAAATTATTTATGTCTTTAAAAATCTGAGGCATGTAGCTAAACCCGAACTAGTGAAACAAATATACACTGCATTGTGTCAATCCATTATAACTTACGGTATAACAATACGGGGCGGATTCCCAAAAACTACATTAGCTCCACTGGAAAGAGCTCAGAGAGCTGTCTTAAAGTTTTGTACATTTCTTCCCATTCTCTATCCAACATATGAACTACATAAACACTGCCAAGTATTAACAGTCCGACAATTATTCATTAATCTGACGATTTTAAAGCAACATGGGTTATTAAATTTTACCTCATCTCAATTAATAAAGAGAAGATCGGACCAAGTGTGCCATACTGCTACCTTTAAACTTTCGTATGCACCTAAATATTTTTGTTTTCTTGGTCCATCCTTGTACAATAAAATAAATAAGCAACTAAATTTATACATTTTAAATAAGAATCAATGTAAAAAAACCCTATTCAAATGGCTTCAAAAACTAGATTATGATGAAATAGAAAAATTATTGAAATCCCTAAATAACTGAATTAGGTACTTCTATAACGTATAATTAATTTACCATTAAATTATATTTTATTATTATAATTATTACTTTATGTATACTACTCACCCTCTCCTTCGCATACACACTAAAACACACACACACACACACACACACACACACACACATACACGCGCACACGCACACGCACACGCACACGCACACGCACACGCACACGCACACACACACTCACACGCACACGCACACGCGCACGCGCACGCACACGCACACGCACACGCACGCACACACACACACACACACACACACACACACACACACACACACACGAGAGGAACAATTTACACTCAACAATATATTTAGTTATGTATGTAGGTTTAATTTTGATACTTTAAATAATATTGATTGATATATATTTACGTAAGTTTTTTAATCAGAAAGATTTCTGTTAAATTGTCCCATAAGAAAGAGCACTGTTGCCTGAGATACAAGCTTATCCGCTTAGTTCAGGCGCAGACGCAAATATATATTGTTAAAATTTTTCCTGAATAAAGAAATTATTATTATTATTATTACATATAATATAGGCTGTAACTTCACTTTGCTTTACGTGACAAATCGAGGTGTGACTTTTTGCTTTTCTGAATACAAGTATTTTTTAAATATTTTCAAAGAGTTTTTAAGATACTTCATAAAAACTTTGTACGTGTTCTTAAATCGGCTATAAAAGACGTACAAAGTGTTTTACAATGTAAGTGTAGTATATAAGTGTAGTTATACAATGTACCTTAAGATGGTCTGCTTAAAATACTGTTGGTTGAATCTCGTTAGATGCAGTTTTCAACACTTTTATATATGCTTAACCTATATTTTGTTTGTGAGTATGTACGAATACGTGTGTAAAAATTTTAGGTTCAGATTATGCATCTGAACCTAATAATTTATATCAGTTAAGTTTAAGTCTTTGTTCAGTGCTCAGTCCTGGACCTCTCGAGGTGTTTAATATTAATGCAATACAAATGTAACACACACATCTAAAACTGTATTATCGTAAGTACAATTTTTTTGTTGATAGACTAACGAATCGATTTAAAAAATCATGTTTTTAATTTATTTGATTTTCTGCCTTATTGATACTTATCCAAAATTATACTCATAAAATCAAATTACACTCATAGTGCTCGTGATCCCGAATTTGAATCCAGGATCGGGACAAAATTAGTCTTTGGGTTTTACATTATTTGGCAAAAAATTCTCAATTGCTGCCTGGAGTCTAGAATATTTTCTACAATATATCATCTGGTGGGTGTCTAAAGAGGCAAAAAAAAAACAGGAGATGGGTACTAGTATCTTCCTAATAACCACTAGAAACTACTGTGTACCGCTACTGATACCCACTCGCCAAGCGTGGTAAGGTGGAGCCACGCTGCATCTACATTATGGTTGTACCACGAATGGGTCGGCTCGACCGGGGAAGGACAACGCTCTCACAGAATACCAGCGTAAAAAGCAGCTTAATTCTGCTGTGTTTCGTAAGGTGAGTGTTTCTACACTCACTCCAGTAAAAAGGGTCTCCGGATCTCTGAAAACGAGGCATTCTATCTTAGTCCTCAGGGGTGACAACGCATCTGCGTTTTGATTCTTAATCTAAGATAAATGTGGATGTCTATGGGCCACAACATCCACTTACCATCAGGTGGACTGTGTACTCGTTTGTAACCCTTATTTTATCAAAAATGGACTTTTGACATGCACTAATGAATGAATGAAAACCACTAGGCTAATATCGCTTATATTAGCTTAGATTACACCCGATAAAACGATAAGTGATTCAGTTACGCTGGATATCGATGGATGCAGGTGACTCAGGGCAGTGCTTTTTGGCACTTTTTGGACGATATCGATTTTAAGTAGGACATATGATGTACGGAAAAGGTGATAATGATGATGTTGATGAAAAAGGATGATGATAATCGCGATATGCTGGAATACCCATGATCAGATCCATTAAAGCAACACCTATTCGGGAAGCCCATAAGCAAAATGTTTTTATTTAAAATATAATAACTGGATATAATTGAAAAATTAAGATGCGGTCATCGAATAAGGCTTATCCTCCCACAATAGAGAAACCTTACGTTCAGTGGATTTTCGTGAGCTGATGATGATGCCGAGTAAACCTTTAATCCAACTATGTAATAGAAGTAGGTTTTAATTTAAACGCTACTTATTTTAAGATTTATCATGATCTCATTTTGTCGAAACTGCGCTTTAAAATAATCCTGGATATTTACTTGTTTGATCATCACAAAAAATTTTTTTGCTCGCAATTAAAAAAAAACATAGCATCAAATGAATAAGAACTCTCTCATAGAGCCGTTTAATTTCGCCACACGAAAAATTGTGATCTAATAATCAAAACAAGTACTTATAATAACATTAATGTTCTTCGAAGACGAATATTTTTGATAACTTTATACAATGAATAATGTATTTCCCGTGTATTTTATCAACATCAAAGAATGAGATATATTGACGTAATTAATTCTAGAGTCCTTCATGTTAA